TGGCCAATCCAACTTGTGAGTCGATCGTAAACTTTTATTACTCAGCTGTAAATTTTCTGCAAACAACCGGGAATGCGATGCATTTGTGTAGCGTGTGCAAATGGGCGCCACGGTCGCCATGTTTACCCAATTCTCTCAGAAAGGGAGCATCACCCAACCCCCACCCCACCCTCACCCACCGCCCACTCCCCACGGACCGGCTGCTAGACTAACACTGCAAGAGCAGATAGGGCTAATATAGAAGGGAGAAAAGAGGGCTCAGACGCTGAAGGTCGGCTGCCTCCTCTTGCTGTCTGGAATTTTAAATACTTTTCTTAATAAATGAAGGTAATAATGTTGGATCTGATGAAAATCAAAGCTTTACAGAGGTCTGCAGCCTTGAGGCAATGAAGGCTGGCGAGATGAAGGAAATAAAAATGAATAGGGTACCTACTCCTACCTTTGTTTTCTACCGCGGTGCCCCAGGCAAGCCCCCACTCCCCACCCATCAGACAAGAACTGGAGTCTCAGGACGCTGGCAGCCCTCCCAAGCAAGCCTGCAGTAGATGGTGTCTAAAAGACAGAACTGGACCAGAATTTGGCAGTCCTTTAAGCAGCAGAGGGTGACAGTTCCTGGGCAGCTTCAAGGACCCCTAAAATGACTTTCATTCCCCAGGTGGTCCCTTTCTCTGACAGAAGGATTTTCCCACCCCTCAAGACCATTTCTAGTTTCATTTCAGGTTCTCTTGTTTCCTAGTTTTTAATGGCAACTTGCAAAACTCAAAGAATTTTTTAAAAAGTGTTAACGTTTAAGATTTTGGTCCAGCTTTCTTTTTCTTTTTTCTTTCTTTCTTTTTTTTTTTTTTTTTTTTTTTTTGAGGAGCAAGGTACTTTTGAAACCTTTTCACCCTCTCTGGTAGCTCAAAACACCTGTCTTTTTCGGGCAAAAAAAATTCTCCCTCAGTATCTGGGCAGCTGAGATCTGATTTCAGAGTTCGCAGGCCTGTAAGAAAGTCATTTACTGCTTCGAATTCTGCCTTTTGCTCTAAAAGTCTATGCACCCCATTTCCCAGACCACCAATTTTGGTAGTAAGTACAGTGTGGGGAGGCCAGAATAAGCTACCTCCTAGAGACTGGTTGCTAGGCTGTAGCCCGGCCACTCCCCACTGACTGGAGATCTTTCCTTGATCGGCATTGAGCAGGCAAGGGAACCTCAAGGGCTGAGTGCTCAACCAGCCAACAAGAGACCCTTCGTCCCCTCCCCAAACTTCCCAGTGAAGCAGTTCCCTCAGCCGGATGCAGAGACCTCATTTCTTTTACAAACCCACCCATAAACTTTATAACAGGTAGTTAAAAATTACGGCGAGGAAGCACTGGCCCAGTTTCTCACAATGGGCAGCGGGGAGAATGGGACAGCACTGCCGGGCAGCTCACCGGAAATTTTCCTTTCAGATTATGGCACATACAACCTGTCCTGAATCCTCTTTAATTGGGGCAAGGGATAACTCTCTGGGATGGCATCTCATACCAGGAATATGAGACTGTGGAGGTCAACCCATGTTCTTCTTCAAGGGGTCCCCTGGGAGTATCTTAGGGGCACACTAATTTCTTTGGCGCCTCAGATTTCTCCAAGACCCCCATCTCCTTTGGACATTCAGTGAAAGAGTGGGAGAGAAAATGCGGCAATATTTTTTTAATACCGAGAAACGAATTTGCCCCCCAGTTTAACAGCTGCACCATCCTGTCTTTACCGTTGAGATTAGAATAATAAATCCAAGGCGAAATGAGCGAGATGCTTCAACTCAGCGTTTTGAAAGATACTATTTTTCACAAATCACAAATAGCTTTCGGAAGCCACTTTGATTGGCTAATAAAAAAGTAAAATTGGGAGAAAGTCGTATCTGCAGCAGCCTAATGGTACCCATTTCGGTAATGGGACGGCAGCAGCAACATTTAGGAGCACGCATTTCTAAAGAGCGCATCCCGCTCTTGCAATTACATTCCCCCATAAAATGGGTTTTTAACCTCCTTTTTTCCCAAATGAGAAAGCAGAAGAGGTGGGCAGGGGAAACGGGGAGCGGGTACAGCATGCACGAGGGGTCGCTGGGGCTCCTTAGGTCTGACCCTCCTGCTGCCCGACATTTCCAGAGAAGCCGGGCGCCAGACACACCCGCTCTCAGACGCGACAGTTTAGGGCCATGGACACTACTGAGCAGGCCAGGGATGAATGGGGGGGGGTGGTGTCTATGTTGGGGGGAGCTGCGAGGCCCCTCAGCGCCATTTACAAGGGGTTCATCTCACTCTGCTTCAGGGAAGGATTTTTTTTCCCAGTAGCAACCATCACCTCAGTATTAAAAATGAAACGGCTCTCCTTCGGTGGTCCCACAGAGTCAGATAGGAAGTGAAAGGCTGTTTTCAGGCTTCCCTGGCCAACCTCCTAAGCCTCCAAAGTCAAACGGGATCAGTTAGTTGTCAGCAGGGACCCCAATTCCACAGATCCCCCCACCTCCTACTTAAAGTTATCCCAACCTGTCCTTCCACCCCGCAGCAGCTTCTCAGCCCCTAGGAAAACCGCCTGACAAATCTTGAACCCCTTTTATAGGAGCCAGAGATTAGTACCTGGTGAAACATTTGGCCTGGCCTAGGTTAAAAATCACGGACCCCAGAGATCTGGTCTCAAAAATATATGTCTTTAGGGTTCTGTTTTTGAAGACCAGAAATCCTCTCTTCCCCTCCTGCTCTGGCCTGGCTGGACCAGACATCTTGTATCTCTGGAATTTGGAATGGTTTGGGCATAAACAGATTTGTCTGCCTAGGACCCTACAGAATGATCCCTTTGCTAGCTGAGTTCCTGGTACTGAACTTTTTATTTTAGAAAATGAAAACATTCTCTTTCCCCTGCTGTGGGGGCTGTCCACCCAACAGGCCTATGCTCCCAAATCAGCGGTCCTCATTGTGGTAGCCAGGCAAAGCAGCCCAATTGTAAAAGTGAAGCCAGCCAGGAGCTGGCTTGAAACAGTCAGAACAGAAGCTAAGTGGACACAAGGGGGCTGAGTGGCAGTGATAGCCTTGTGTTGAATTTGAATTCCAGGATGCAGACCCTGACTGGTATACCAGCTTACTCATTTGTCCTTCCCTTCTCCTCTGAACCAGGCAGAAGCTTCCTCATTCCACACTTTGGCATTTGTCAGCTGAACTCTCCTGACTACTCAGCTACATTTAGCTTCACATACCCCTATCCCTATCCTCTCCACTATTGCAATATAATGTACTGGCTGGTAAGGGGTGGTCACAAGCAAGAGAAGAACCCCACCATATCACCCTTAGCCCAAACCCCTGGAAGAAAAGGCATAGTCCCAGGAGAAACATGGACCCAGCACAGAAATGAAGGGGCTCCTGTCTTCCCTTTGGAGTCCCAGCACCTATGAGCCTTCTTGTTTGGCATTAGTATTAGCTAAGTAACCCTCCTTCCTTCTAGTAGACTTTCCCCCTTCCTTAACCCTTAACTGTCAGTCACCTGCCCTCCTGTCTCCCTACTCTCTCCACCCCATTCCCAAGTTCCACCACTCAAAGTCAGATCAGGGTAGGGCCTTTTGCAGAGCTGGGGAAGGGAATAAGGAGGGAGGAGTAGGAAAAGGGGGGAGTTACAAAGAAACAGCAAGTCTTTCCAGCTTCAATTTCTTCTTTCATTTTTTTATTATGACTCACTTATACAATACAAAGTACTTGGACCAGGAACAGGGCTTTCAGGACACAAAATCTACATTCATAGCTGGACATAAAGACAAATGACCAAAAATTATTATTATAGATATATTTTAACATTTTTTTCCTTTCGAGCACGTTGCATAAACAGAGAATTCAAGACAGTAACTATGCATTCAGTGCGGTTTAGTTCTACTCTACTGGGGTTAATAGCACAATGAAAGCGCACAAGACCAGCGGGCTAGGCAGTCTCAGTTGTTGGGGTTTTTTTCTTAGTGAAATAAGCAGCAACAGACGACAACAAAACCGCATTACAAATACTCTCAAAGCAGGATTTCTTTCTATAGGTAGTGATAAAATACATTGAAGGTTTTTTTTTTCTTTTTTCTTTTTTTTTCTGTTTTTACCTCCTTTAGTAGGATTTTTTTCTCTTTCTCTCCTCTCCCCCAAGATTATTGCAGGTTCCCTTTAGGTAGTATATTAAAGTTTTTTAATCAGCATATTGTCTTCATGATTATGGTGATTTCTGAGCACAAACACTAAGACAGCTCAGAGGAAGCTGGGCCCAAAGAACAGAAATCAATCAGCAAGGACAGGCAAGGAAGGCTTGGGCCCAATGACTATGGCATGGATAGGTAGGATTTTAGAGACCACTGCAGGCCCCTCTTTACCCCTCAGTAAGGGGGTGGATAGATTCTTAGGTTCCTGAAGAAAGTCAAGGGGGTTTTCTAAGGAAGGAGCCTCAGAGAGGGAGGGAATCTTCTTTGCTATCTTTTATTTCTTTTAACAGTTTTTCCCTTTCATTCCCTTTTCTTCTGCTTTTTTTCTTCTTTCCTTTTCTTTCAAAAAAGAAGTTAATTCAGTACTCTGATTCCTAGCATATAAGCCAAGCCAAGAACCATCTTCCACATCTTCAGGCGGATTCCCTTTAAAATAAATACCATAGAAGCAATGAGTGGGAGGGTGGGGAGAAGTGGGGTGTGAGAAGGCTTAGACCTTAAAGTTCAGGAAGGGCTCAGGGCTCGGAAGCTGGAAGCAAGGACAAGTGAGGGTGAGCTAAGCATGAAGTGGAGCAGAACTTTTCCTTGTGTCTAGGTCTCCCCACCCCCCCTGGCCCCCAAACAGATAAGGAGCAGGGGAAGTCCAAAGGTAATAAAAGCAGAGCTGCAAGTATCTGACAGGTAGTTAGAGCAGTGAGTGCCATTCTATTCTCTATAAAAGCAAATGACAGTCATAAACTTCTCGATTTATCTGCTACCATAAAACGAAACTTCAAGGGAGTAGCTGGGGGGGGGATATTTTTTCTCTCTTTTTTCCTAGTCCTTATTTTCTTCCTTTTCCTCTTCTTCTTTCTCCTCTTCCTCATTCCCTTCTTCTTCCACCTTCTCCTCATCTCGGGCCCCAGGCAATTTGTCCTTGTTGTTCTCCTTTTTCCACTTCATCCTTCGATTCTGGAACCATATCTTCACTTGTCTTTCGGTCAGTCCCAGGGCGTGAGAGACTTCAATCCGGCGCTTTCGTGTCAAATAAGGATTAAAGAGAAACTCCTTCTCTAGTTCCAAGGTCTGGTACCGGCTGTAAGTTTGTCGTCCACTGCGCCGCCCAGGAGCTGGACAGAACAGAACCCCAGTCTGGTTATATCTGGTTTGGGGGTGCTCCATTCCCCCCAACTACTCTGCTTCCCACAAAGCTCCCCCCTTCTTCTCAGTTTTTCCTCCAGCCAGTGAGTCTGCCCGCAGAAGACAAGCAAGGGCAGGAAAAGTTCCCATACATGTTTTGGTTTGATTTTCTTCACCTTAGGAGGTGGGTGAAGGTGAGGGGCAGGGAGGTAGCTGTCTGAAAAGTAGGAGCTTGTTGGGGACAAGGGAACCTTGCAGGGTCCTTCAGGCCTCCAGCTTGGCCCTTACAGCTTTGTTTACAAGTACAGAGTGGCATTTAGTAAGCCAGCCTAGGGACACAATCTGCTTCCAAGAAAAAGAAAAAGGGCTGGGGTTAGAGGAGAGGGGTTTCTGTCCACTGCCCCCGCCTTGCCTATCTCTGCCTAATGCTTTTCCAATAAGAGAAATAATTGATCTCCTGGAATGTAACGCAGCTCTGCCTGATTGCTAACCGGAGACCAACAAATAAATCAAGGGCCATCCCTGCCGGAACTGTTGTTTTTGCTTCCCCCTGTACTTCGAAATTGAGCCATGAGGGGCCACCCTTGGAGGGGCTCATAACCTGAGCAGCTTTCCAAGAAACCCCATAGATCTTGACTGGGGGGTAAACTGACTAGCCCCTGGACCCCAGAGGCCCCTACTTTGTATAGCACTAGTCCCTGGACCCCAGAAGCCCCTACTTTGTGTAGCCCCTCTCTCTTCTGGAGCATTGATTTTCTGCTCAGGCATTCAGTCTTCTCTCCAACAGGAGGAAGTAAAAAAAAAAGTTGGGGTAATGGCCTTCAGGCTGCTTCTCTGAGAGGAAGAAGTGGAGACCCCCAAAGAGTCAGAGTGCCTACCCTTAGGTTCTTGCCCCTCTCTCTGGCCAGAGGGAGACAGTAAAGGGTCTTCCTTTCACCCAGTGTCTGGCCACTGTCTTGGAATGGCTGTCTTCCTGTCTTTGGGCAAACTGGCTACCGCCCCCAAAGGCTAATAACCCTAGTTTACTCTGGGTGTTCTTGTCAGCCACCTCCCCAACTTTGACTTTAGAGATGGGGAGAGGGAGAGAGAGAGAGAGAGAGAGAGAGAGAGAGAGAGAGAGAGAGAAGGAATGGAGGAAATGTTTTTTAGCCCCTTTGCACCCACATATCACCTTTCCCCCACCTTCACCCCAACACTCACAATATCTCAGGTGCCCCCTCCCGCCCCACACCCAGCCAAACCTTTTTAACCTCCAGGAACCCACCCAGGCACTGGAGCGGAGTGGAAGAGACCCCCAAAGCCAGGAAGGAAAGCAAGGGCAGACAAAAAGGAGGCGAGGGAGGGGGAAGACCCCGGAGCGCGGGAGACCAAGGGGGAAAGAGAAAAGGCTTCTCACCGTGGGGTCTCATCCATGGAAACATGAGGCTGGGAGACGAGTTCTGATTTAAGTGGCCTTGTCCTTCGCTACTGTTAGTGTTGGCGGAGGATTTACAGTCGGGATATTGCACCACGCTCGCCTCTTGCTGAGCCCCATAAAGGGACTGTCTGGGGAGCGCCTCGTAGCCATAGAATTTGGAGGCGTCTCCGTGGCAGCTCAACGAGCACGGGTTCTGCTGGTAGCCCGAGTTGGAGATGCCGGAGGTGCCGTGGTGGAAGAAGTCTTGGACATGGTGCGAGGCATGCTGGAAGCCGGGCGCCGAGCCTCCGGGCCCGTACACCAGCGCATGGCTCCTGCCCACGCTCTGAGGGAACCGGCAGTCGTAATAGGCCGGTTCCAGGGACTCGCCGCCTTTGTATTTGGAGAACAGGGGGTTGACGAAGTAGGAGCTCATGCTGGGCACATGAAAACCTGCGGCCCCCTCCCCTTGGCTCACGCTCCCCCGCCCGGTATCCCCAAAACTCCCCTCCCCCCGGGACCGAACCCCCAAGCTGGCCGGCTCCCCCGGGCTGGACTGCTGGGCTGGGGGCTGGGCAGGTGGGGGCGCGGTGCCGGCTGAGGGCTCGGGCGGCGGCGGCGGCTCTGTTCACTGTCGGTAGGTAGAGCGCGCGCGCTCACTTAGCTCTTTCCTCTAACAGCCCAGGCGAATTCCTCAGACTCCCGGCGGTGGCGGCGCTTACACGCGATTCGCGTTCATCAATCCACGACATGAAGACAGGCGAGCGAGAGAGAGAGAGAGAGAGAGAGAGAGAGAGAGAGAGAGAGAGAAAGGGAGGGGGAGAGAGGATTGAGGGGTTCGGGCCTGGGGGGGACCTGGAGAAGAGGGAGGGAGGAGAGGGGAGGGATGGGGGTGTGGTGTGTGTGTAGGGGATGGCCAGCCAGCCCCAGCTAATGGCCAGGCCAGCTTTTCCAAAGTATGTACTCTTGTTAGAAGGTGCACCCCTTTTCTGTCCTTTTTGAGAGATACCTGAGCCAGTAGATCAACTCAGGTTACCTCAACAGGTAGAAGACCCCAGGGGTGAGTGTTAGTAAGTCGGGGCTGAGTCTTTAACCTCAAAGGTGAGTTACCTGGGGGTTCCTAAAGTCTGGGGACTTCAGGAAGAAGCACAGTGTGTACCTGGACCCTTCAGGCTGCAGACCCTCAAGTCCCTGACCTCTCCCCAGAGTCTGAAGCTGCTCTGTCTTCTTTACAACCTGGAGACTCTTGTCCCTTGACTACTACGGGTAGAGAAGATGGGGGTGACACTCCATGTACCCCAGCAAGACCACAATACCCTTGCAGAAAGCAGTTCCTCCAAGGAGCAGGAAACCCAACAAGCTTGGCTGGGAGACTCTGAGAGCAAAGCTGTTTATGGGGACCAAGAGAAACAGCTTGAGCGCCCAGGCTTCTGCATAGCCTAACCCAAGACATTTCTGTTTCTGAGACTATTAGCGGGCTGAAGGGAGTAGGAGTAGGCCTCTTACTGATTCTCAGAAACCACCACCCCATAGGAAATGCCAGCTGGACCTACAGGGGCCCTCAGGCTTCCCCGCACCCTCCTCTTCTCCAGGCAGGCTTCCCAGGTCAGGATGTGGATGGGAACTGTCAACAGACACTCTTTAAATATTTACCCACACTTTCGGGGAGGGGGGCACAGATCCCCATGCCCAAGACTGGACAAATTCAAGTTAATTCTAATGGAAAAAATAACCTTGGTCCCTCAACCCCCTTCCCTAGCCACAGTGTCTACAGTGGGCTTAATGCAGGGAGAAAAGAGAAGAAAGCATAAGACCATGTGTGTGAATGTGTGCTATTGTGCTCCTGAATGAAGATGAATAAGAATGATTTCTTTCTGTCTTCTTCCTCCACAGTAAGTGAGGCTTACAAAGCCATCCTGGAGCACACTCAGAACACACACACACTATCTATCTATATGTATGTATATACACACATATACATACAGATATAGATAGATAAATGTGTATATGTATATATGTGTATAGTGTATATATACATAACTATGCATGTACATGTGCATATATAGATGCTGCACTATTCTCTTACTCAGAGACATATCAAGTGTATGTTCATTTCACACTAGCTATACACATTTCTGAAAGTGGCCTTTCTGACTCACAGGCCTGTACATACATGTGTGCACCAGGCAATGCACAGAATGTTTGATGAATATAAATGCTTGATAAATATATATATTTGTAAGCTTTTGCATCAAGAAAAAGAACTACCTGTCTTTCTTCCTCATCCTGGGGTTTCAGGGTTGGGCAGGGAAGGGTGTGGTAGAAAGCTAGATCTCCTCCTTTCCCGCCCTAATCTGGAATCAGCTGTGGGCTGGCTCTAGGCATAGAGGACAGGCTAGCAGGGCAAGGCAGGATAGAAAGAGCAGCTCTCCCCTGTCCTTTTTTTATTTAAATAATTACTGGGGAAATGACCACTCTCAGTCAAATTCTTAAAGGAGATTCCTGGTGTTCAGGCAAGAGACTCTATACTGGAATCTTTTGAATTTAGGGAACTCACCGCTATTGAACTTAGGAACTGCCCAAACTCTTAGAGACAGAACTCTAGCTCTGAAGCAGCAGGAGAAGCAGCAGGAGGGGAGATTCCAGAAGTGCTGTGTCAGGGCTGTGGATCTCACTAGCGTCCAGAGTAGTGCGAGGAACCCCAGAGCATCTCCACCACAGCATAGCCCGCTGCATCTTTGGCTCCAGCCTTTTCGATCTGAGAGAATTTGCTGAAGAGAGTGGATTCTGGATTCCTAGCATCTGACCATGGGGGCTGTCATAAATACTTTCTCTTCTTTGACTGGAAAGAGGAGACTCAGAGGGTCCGGATTCTCTCTGGGGCCTGTGTCTTATCTTTTAGGGGGTGGGGAAATCTATTTTCAGATTTTATGGTCCAGAAAAAAAAAACCTGCAAGGGAGCTATTCTTCTGGGCCTTTGTGTCGTGGAATGCGGCTGTCCCGAACATTACCACCGCCTGTCCGGAGAACCCATCAGTCCTATAAGCTTTGGTCGGACTTACTTTTCCCCTTTGAAGGTTTTATCATCTTTTATTTTATCTACTTATTTTTCTTTTACCCGTATCTGGTTTATTTTGCTCTCTGAGCCTGGAAATAAAGGAGCCGCAAGCAATCATCCTCGCCGGGCCGCTCTGTCCCTCTACCCAAGGCCTGCACCACCCTCTTAGGTACCACGGATTTATGTTCGTTTGTTGGGGTCATTCCGCCTTTTTGTGTTAATTTTCTGCTCCTCACTTATCTCCATCAGCGATTATTTTTGATGCCTGCCCTCTTTTGCCTCCTGAACTCTCCGATAGAGCAAGGGCACATCTCTTGCTGACACTCACGAATTATTTACTCTTCGCAGGTGAGAAGGTTGGTTTGTTCAGAGGCAGTGGGGCCGAAGCCGGCAGAAGCCAGGGGCTTTCTGGCCAAAGCTTCCAATTTGGTCTCAACTGTCAGTAGGCCAGGCTGATCTGGGGTGGAGGTGGAGGTGGAGGTGGAGGTGGAGGTGGAGGTGGAGGTGGAGGTGGAGGTGGAGGTGGGGGAGGGGGAGAAGGGAGAGAGAGAGAGAGAGAGAGAGAGAGAGAGAGAGAGAGAGAGAGAGAGGCTTCTAAGATTGAACAACAGCGCCACCTCGTGTCCACTTGCTCCAATGCAATCTGACTGAGGAAAAGCCAGCAGAGGTCCTAGGCTGAACTGAAAGGTAGCAAGTTGAGAGGAAGAAGCCTCTAAACCGGTGCAAAGGAGAGATTTCCAGGAAGGTGGTTGCCTCTATTCTTTGTTTTTCTAAATTCTTGAAATAAAACATGTGAAAGGTTCCACACTTTTCTCTCTTTGTAACTCCCCTTTCTGGAATAAAGAGACATTGCAAAGGAATAGCTGTGATCTCCTCCATTCAGGCGTTTGCCCTTGCATACGTGGGTGCGTGGGTGCACCGCCCCATCCGAAGTTCTCAGGACCTTCTGCTCCCAGCACTCTCAGTCCCTCTTATCGGGTTGCACAGCCTATTCCACCCGCTGCCTGCTGGACTTCAGGGTGGGACTCTGACCGTTCCAGGCTGCTCCCACCCCCTGGTTTGTAGCCCTTCCCTAGCATGCGCGCTCTTCACCTCTCCCTCTCGGCCAGGGAGATCCTGATCTCTGTGGGCTATAGACAAAACATTCCTATAATCCGATTTCAAAGGAAAGAGTGTCCACCTTATTTAAACCATAAAACAATTAAGCCCAGACGTCTAGCCAGCTTCGCGTTGCTGTTTTGTTCGGGGCCCCATTCAGAACCCAAAGCAGGGAGACAAACAGGGCCATAAAAGTGGCATTTCTGGGCTACGGAAATGTACCTATCTCTGCCTTCCCAAGTAGGACAACCTTTAGGGTTTTGTGATTCTGACAAAAGAGCAGAGGAGAGGTGAAAGGACACATGAGGGGAAGAGAAAGTCTGCCAGATCCTCTCCTGGTCTGCTTTAATTTCTCTCCTCAGTTGTTTGTCGTGTTGTTTTAATTCACAAATGGTAATGAATAAAATCGAATCTAATGCTGATCTGGCGGCTGGAAACTGGGATTAAAGAGTGGGCCTCCTCTAAATCCCACCTTCTTCTGGGTCCTACAAGCTCTGAGGTCCCCTTTCCAGCCGGCAGGCTTCAGGAAGCAGACCTTAGAGCAGGGGTGGGGGTGGAAGCAGGACAACAGCGCTGAGCTGAGCAGGGAGAGAAGCCGGCATCCTCTCTCTTGATAGTCCTGACTAAGGCAAGCGAAGGGTGTCTTGGTTCCCATCAAGAGCAGAACTTAGGCCAGGATTACAGAACAGCAAAAGGACCAAAGGGAAGAGTAAGGTAGTGAGAAAAACAAGGCGAAGCCTCTTTCCAAAAGACCAAAGAGTCAATGCTCAGGAGTGGGATGGTCTGCTAAGCAGGGAATAGGGAATGCATCAATGGCTTGGCTGCTAAGTCTGTTGTTGCCACTTGGTTGCTGCTCCCCCCACAATATTAAAGAATCAAAAATTTCAACCCTTTTCACTTTCCTCCAATCCCAAAAATTGGAAGAAGAGGATAGAAGACGCAAATAACGTGGCAGAGATTGTCACTCCAAGTGCCCACTAGTCCTGCCAGGGGATGCTTTGGCAAAGCGGACGGCCTGAGATGTTAAAGGGCTATATTTCAAGCAGTCTAATTTTAATAGTTTCCAGATTGGGGGATTTCCGAGAAAAGGGGTGCTGGGTTGAGGCGGACCCAGCAGTTCTGTCTGCTTCTGATTAGTCCAAGAAACTGTTAGCTCCAGAGAGAGAAGGTTCTAGAGAAGGGTGCAGGGCAGCCATACAGCCCCACCAGACTGTTAGGTACACATCACAGTGCCTCTGTGCTTGGGGTCCAGCAGCCACCAGAGAGCACCCCACTGCTAGCTAACTGCTAACCCTCTCTCTTGTAGCCTGGCCTCACTACACCCTAGGAGAACTACTTAGCATGACCTTAGTAATACTTATCAACATTCAAACTAAACATGGGGGGTTAGAAGGGGAGAGAAGAGCCGGGAATGAATTCACTGAGAAGAAATTAATTCTTATTATATTGACTTTGCGATATGTTTTTTCTCTCCCTCTTCATCATTTTCTCCTGCCTTCCTTCTTTCCTTTCTTCTTCCCCCTCCTGTCTTCTTTTTCTTGTATTTTTTATTTCTTCCTTCCTCCTCCTCCCCCCCTTCTCATTCAGTACTCAGTGCCTGTCCCCCAGTGTTCCTTGAGGCCGCATGGCCTTTCCCCCTAGCTGAGCATCCTGCTAGCCTTCTTTCTCAGGCAACCCTGAAAGCACCACAGCACCACAGCCACCAGGCAAGAAGCCAGCCTGGGCCTTCACCCAGCACCCAACTTTCATCTTCACCTATCTTTTCTCTCCGATCTCATGTACTCATAAATTACGACAATTAATTACAGCCAGCAAAACCATCCCAGCAGCGCTCCCCACACGCTCCATCAAGCCACTAGGAAACTCACAGGCAGCCAGCCGGGGCAGGCACAAGCTAGGCCTCTGTCTCAGCAGCCTCCCCTCCTTCCCTTCCCAGGAGCCCCCCTCCCATTCTGCCCTGCCTGGAGAGAAGCTGCAGGCATTTGCCCTTTGGAGGTAGAAGGAGCCCCTTCTCTGGTTCTGGCTCCAGCTTCCCTTAGAGGATTAAGCCCTTGCCTCCTCCACAGAGCCACGGGGGAAGAGAAATAAAGACGACGAGAACTAGATACAGTTGAATTTCTGGATTTTTTTTTTTAAGTGACTTCGATATATTAACAGAGTTGCTCTACTGTAACAAACAGAAGCACATTACAGGACACGCTGGAGAGGGACACTGGGGCGAGAAGAACACGGTTCTATACAAGCCTGAGGAACCAGCCTGCCTGTGCAGTCTGACCCAGCCGTACAACTGGGCTCTCATCCCTCAGCTCTGGCTGGGAACCATCATTGTGTGTGTGTCTTTTTGTATAAAATCTGCCCACAGAGCTCCCAAGGCCCAGGAAGAAATGGCCCAGACCAAATACAAGAGAGAGAGAGAGAGAGAGAGAGAGAGACAGAGACAGAGACAGAGACAGAGACACAGAAAGACACACACACACAGAGATTCAAATACTGGCTTCTTTGAAGAAAGAAGGGAAAAATCACATTTGTGTGTGTGTGTGTCATTTATTTCGCTTGCTGGGGGGAAGAGAATGCGGTTTCTCCTGCCTCCTGGTCGCTGGATAGAACTACCTCTAACACCAATTCCTCAGCCCTTAGCCCTCCCACATCGCAGAGTTCCCTTTTTTTCTTTTTAAGACGGTGGGCTTTTCTCTGTCTTGCTCTTTCCTTCTCTTTTCGTGCTTTCTGCCGCCTAGGCTGGGACATTTCTGTGGGGTTTTGTGTTTTCCTTGGCTGTGTTGGCAGCAGGCTGGGGCAAGCTTAGGATTGATCCTTGTCGCTTTTCTCCTTATTCATCTTTTTCATCTTCATCCTCCGATTCTGAAACCAGATTTTGACCTGCCGCTCAGTGAGATTGAGAACACGGGCCACCTCGTATCGTCGGTCCCTGGTTAAATACATATTGAAGAGAAACTCCTTCTCCAGTTCCAGCGTCTGGTACTTGGTGTAGGGGCAACGCTTCTTCCTTGTGGAACGGGCATGGATCCAGTTGGCCACGGGGTTGCCTGGAGGGCCAAAGATAGGCAAGGATCAGTAGAGTCTCCTTCCAGCTCAAGACCTCAGCTATCCCACCCCCAGGCTTTGTCAAGCTCCTCAAGCTCAATAATTGAACCTGAATTTGGTCACGTTTTACTTTAGCCATTTTCCTCCTTTCTCTTCTGCATTCTCCCCCTCTCCACGTGCCCTCCCTGTCCAGTATCCAGCACCTAAAACTGTAGGAAATTTGAAGCTACCAAAGCCCCCACAGTCTGGTCTTCAGCTTCAAGAGTAGTAATTCGAGAATATCCTCATAAAAAAGTCCAAATTCCCAACTGTTTCATAGGCCCATAAACGCTTCTCTCTTGTTTTTTATTTTTATAGCAAGATCCCTCTCCTCTCCACTTCCCTCCTCCTCAGCCCCTCCCATTCTCACAGCCCACGACCAAGTCCTGAAATATCATAGTTGTTTCCTGACCCTGAGAGTCGCTAAACCCTCAGCACTTCCCAGTGTCCATCTCTTGCTCAGAATTCAACCCTGATGAGGCGAATTGTCAGGGTTAAACCTCCCCACTCCTCAGATAGCTGCTGGCCTTGGAGAAAGGCCACATCTTAACCCTCTTCTTGGTCTCCACTGCCCCCCCCCCTCCTCCCAGCTCCAGGACAGACTCTGCAGGAGACAAGCCTCCAAGCTTCCAATTTCAGGTTTATGGGAGTAGCTGAGGGCAGGAGGGAAGTCTTCAGAGGGTATAATTAGGCCCTGGCCCCTTATGGAGCTAGAGGAAAAGATTTCCTGAAGTCTCCTCCTGGGGATCCCTCAGACACTTCCTCACACCCAGGGGGCTACACCCCTCCCCTGCTGTTTCTCCTTCTTACTCCCTCTTTCTTTGACCCTGTAGCTTACACCTGCCCCCCCCCACCTCTTTACCTACCCTAGTCAGCCGAGTCTCTCAGGCTCTCTCTCTCTCTCTCTCTCTCTCTCTCTCTCTCTCTCTCTCTCTCTCTCTCTCTCTCGTGTGTGTGTGTGTGTGTGTGTGTGTGTGTGTGTGTGTGTGTGCGCGCGCGCGCGCGAGCGCGCTTATGTGGTTCTTTAATCTGAAGAACCTATTGCATTCCGTGTTCCTAATCCCCATTTGCAACTTTCTCCTGTAGACACTTAAAAGTGGGTTTTCAAGTTTAAGGAGACTCGGACAGTTACTTCTCTCCCACTTCTGTTTGGAAGTCCTGGCCTAAGTTCCTAGACTACATACCCCCCAGACCCTTCTAGGGGGAGGAGAACTCAGTGGACCTTTTATTTTATAAACCTCTAGTGGGATGAAGACCCCCACTCTGGCTAAGAGGTAGGGATAATTTCTTTCCTTTTGCTGCCCTGCCCCTTCTCCAACCACAAAATGAACCACAGGCCCTCAGCCCAGCTCCTGTCCCTGCTTGCATTTTATTTTTCGAAAGTGACCCCTGAATCAAAAAGCCTGAGTTAAGAGGACGACTCAGGGGTCTTCCTTCAAAGCCAGCCTCTGGCAGAGAAGTTCCCCTGACCGGCCCTCTCCCAACCTGGCTGCCAGGGCCCTTGTCTCAGACCTTCCTGCCCCAGAGAGCTAGCTCCCCAAGGTAATTCGTTTTTATTGAGTCCTTGCCCCCTCGCCTTCGCCTCTTTCCCGCGCTGCCCGCGCGGCTGGACGGGCTGTAATACGGCTGCCCCCGCCTGGCTTCCCCTCCCCTCCTGTGCCGGTTGTAAAGGAAAATTGCTCCCAACTTACTAGGGTCCAGGTCGGCCTTCTCCTCTTTGTGCTTGCTGCCGGCCAGCGCGTCCGCCTCGGGCGAGGGCAGCGTCTGCGGGGCGCGGTCGCGCAGCTCCCCGGGCGAACCGTACATGTAGTCCGGGTAGCTGCGGCCGTCGCCTGGGCCGCAGTCGGCGCGGCGCCCGGGGTAGGCGTCGGGCTTGAGGGCGTAGTGACGGCCCCCGGCCGGGAAGCTGGGGAAGGAGACGGCGCCGGACAGCGGCTCGAGCCAAGTCCGCATGTAGCGCGTGTCGGCGCCGAGGTGGGGCTGGGGGCCGTACGGGTGATAGACCACGGACGACTGTGAGGGCACGGGCGCCCACGACGTGCTGAACACTGCCGGCTTGGGCGCGAAGCTACAGGACGGAAAATCGCTACAGTCCGGCACCAAGCCGCTGGGTCTGGCGGCGGCAGGGTGAGCCCCGGTGGCCGGAAACCTGGACGCTAGGAGGTCTTCATTGTCGTGAGAGATGAGAGAGTCCACGTAATAGTTACTGATGGGCCCCGTCGCCGACATCGTAACAGGGTTTTACATACATAAGATTATTGTATGAACTGTATATGTACTTTTTATCTGCTCACAGAACAATCAAGGCAGGTAATTATTTTTCCAGCCTTTTCCCGGCAGCTCATTGGTTCCCCAGCCCCCACGTGATCGTATTTACCCAAAAATACGGCGCGGATCAATGCGCAGGGGCTTTTTCCCTTTGCTTTTTCCCCCCTTTACCACCCCCTTCTCTCTGCTGATCCCCGCGACCTGCGTTTTCCTGGCGATCTGCAGCTCTGGACCCAAGGCGCTGGACACCCCACCCCGGACGACTCATATCTCATCAGGGAACCCCCCTCTTTTACCATGTGCGGCCAAAAGCAGATGGCTCCCCCTACCATGAGAATTAAAAAAAAAAAAAAACACAAAACACCAAGGTGAAAATGCGAGTTCCAGAAGCCAGGGTTCTTGGACCCCCAAGGGCTGAGCTGGGCTCGGGGAGCCCCACAGGGGCGGGGAGGCCGGACGAGGTAGGTGGAGGAACTATTTCTTGACGTAATCTATCTCTGTCTGCCCCAAAGCTCCTGCAGTCTCTGAGTGAGCGGAGATCTGCGATTGTCAGTTCGGAACGTGGCTTTTAAAGATGCTTTTTAAAATACGGTGTATGTATGTATTTCTTTCAGCAATAGCAGCACCAGCGGCGAGGGAGGGACGGTGGGAGGGGACTGAACAAGCTGGGATGAGGGAGGGAAGGAAAGAAAGGGGACAGTTCTTCTGCCACTGGCCAACTCAGCTCCCCAAATCTAGGGTGGGTATGGGAGGCTTGGGAAGGTGGTCTGTAGGGTAGGAGGAGTAGAACTTGGCCACCTCACACACCTTTATCATCAGCTTCACAAGTCTCCTCTTGCTTTGGCACAGATATATAAGCCTTTATTTAAATTTATTGTCTCTGTTTCTCTGCCAGCTTGAAGAAGTGGAAGAGAGAACTATACAACTTAAGTGGGGCATCCCCATCCTGTCTGCCTGCTCTCTCTCCTTTGCCCCCAGGTCATCTCTGTGACACCTTCACACACACCCCAAAAAGAGAAGTCACTCGGAGGTTCTGTCTGCAGAAAGCCAGGGTGAGAACAGGCAAAGAAAGAAAGCGACCTCGGTCGTGGGCAAGTAGCTTGTTTTTACGTCCTTCAATAAAATTTTTATGAGGATCATTTGATTGTTCATAAATGTGTCTTTCATTAAATAAAATTGTAGGCTGTTTTTGGAACAGAAAAAAAGCAACGGAGGGATGGGAGAAGGCAATTTCTTTGGGGTCGGATGGAAGAATTCAGGAGGTAGCTGTGTGACTGAAAGGAATTATAAGACAACTTGGGTTCCACCCTCCCCATAAGTTGACTGCTATCCCCCCCTTGAATTTGGGGTTTGTTGCATGCACAGCTTTTCAACAGACCTCCCATGGTGGTTTAGCAATAGAAAGCTTTGGAGAGGCAGAAAAGTCCTCAGTAAGCATTCAGGAGAGGGGGCAAAGAGGATGGTTGTGGGGATGAAGGGACAGGTGATGCACCTAGGCAGGGCAGAAAGAATTTGAAGAATCAGGGTGCAGTCTCAGGGTCAGAGGAAAGAGTCTATGCGAAGGGAATTAAACAAACAGGAACTGAGGCTAGGAAGCGAGCTCTGAAGGAAGCAGGTTCTGTGGCTTCCTAGACCCAGCCTAGCCTTCTTCTATGCAGTCACCAGGACCAGTCCAAACTCTAAGTATGGAGTGGGGGCTGGTTTTCTCCTACATTCCTCTCCCTCTACGCTTCAAGGTGAGGAAGTGCTAGAGAGGTACCTGTTTTAGAGGGTTAGAAGGTTGGGGAGGGGGACAACTGCAGCTCTTAGGAGAGACTCAAGAGCTGCTGCAGCCCTCCCTAGTACCTGTGGACCCCTCCTCTCCTTCTTCGCTTTTTGGTATATCAAAGCTGGATTTTTTTTTTTTTTGAGGCACGGGGAGGGTGTGCAGGGAAGTGTCTGGTTAGGGAAAGGCACTCAGAGCCTGAGACTAATTCTCCTCAGAGCTGTCTTTTCCTTTGGGCTGGACTGGCTGAAAAATCCAAATTACAATAAGAAACAGAGTATCTCTTTGGCCTTGATGCAGTCATGTTAGCTGTCAATCAAAAATTTTCCCTCACTAGTTCAAGAACACATAGGAGGTTCCAGATCCTCTGCAGAGGCTTTCTCCAAATCCCCAGCATAGTCAGCACCTCCCCCAGCCATGGGTGACTGGGGACCCAGCCTGACTCTTGAGTAGTTGCTGGCAGCCTTGAGCACAGGCATTTAGTCTTCAGTGGGGCCCTGGGACAGACTGTGGCCAAGAGGACATCAAGGGACAGAGCCTAAGAGAGTCAGAGCCTGACAGACCAATTTAAACAGGTCTCCAGACTGGAGGAAGGAAAAACAGAACTGGAGGTTAGGATAACGAGGGAAGGAGAGAGAGAGAGAGAGAGAGAGAGAGAGAGAGAGAGAGAGAGAATATTAAGGAAAAGAAGGCAGGCGAGATGAAGAGACCTAAGAACAAGGAAAGCAAGGCTCTCAAAAAACAAGGAAGGGAAGGGCGCAGAGAGGCACAGGCAGGATGGGGCTGGGCTGGGGCTGGGCACAGGCTGACGGAGCAGCAGAGCAGCCGCAGGAGCAGCCGTGGCATTGTGCAGTTCTCTTGCTTGTCCGGGCTTTGCCGCGGGACCGCTCCGGGCGCGGCCCCTTCTGTCTGGACACAATGGCATAAGAGGCCTCCTTTCCTCCCCCTCTGGGAGACCTGCTCCTGTGGGTATACTAGGCCGGTGGGACACAGAATCTGAGTTAGCCCGGCAGTCACTTCAGCTTCTGGGGGCTAAGCCACATTCTAGTCAAAGAGGAAGAAATAGAGGGGAAGAGACAGCATGCCTGTTCTTTTCTGCATCTTCACAGGGCGCCAGGGCCTGTCTGTCTCTACCCCAATGTTCCTAAACAGAAGTTCTTAAGAACCCTCCTCTATTTGAGAGAGCCCCTCTTTAGATATCTTGACTGTAATGAAACCTCCCTTCTCTCCTGCGCCCTTTGCACACAACCTTCTTTTCAACTCCTGAGCAGCCTGCACACCCAGCCTGCCTACCCTGCAGAGGCTGCTGCAACTGGCACTCAGGAGCACCATTCACGGACCCCTGTCTCCCTCAGATCCTCCAGGAAGCAGAAGAGAGACAGTTGCCTTGCCTTCCTTTTGAGATCAAAAACTCCAGACCCTCCCCACTCAGAAGCAGGCTCAGCTGTAGACTGGGAAGCAGGCCTCGCCCACAGGCCCCTCCTTGCCAATGCCCCATTCTGTCTATGCTTCTCAGAAAGAAGCCTTAAGGAAGGGATCTGGTAGACACTGGGAGTCCCGAGCCCACTAGGCCTAGGTCCTGTGTGTGGGTTGTCACATTTAAAAGCTAGCAGATCAGGGATGGGAAGTGGTTTTCTCTAAATCTAGGCTTGCAAAGATGTGGGGATACCAAAAGGAGGGTCTCATCTTGGGGTTCAATTGCTCTTCTATTCTATTCCAGGACTTTCTCTCATCCAAATCATCCCTTTCCATTTTCCTTAGCACCGCTAGAGCAACCTGAGAGACCTGAGGACGCCAGGAGTAACTGTTGGGGAGGGAAAGGGCCAGGTCTAGTTGACAGTTCTGTATTCGCTGGAGTTCCTACCTTTCACCATACACATCCAACAGATTTCAGTGGGCACAGGAAAGGAGTGCTTTGAGGGGGGAGGGGCACACTTCCTCTATCCAGTCAAACCTGAGCAACTGAGACCACAATCAAGCTAGCACCGTGGGAAGGACAGACAAACAGATAGGCTAGAGTCATCACCCCCTCCCCCTGCCGGGTGTCTCCCTTTTAATGATTTAAATTCCCTCCGGTTCAATTCACACCGTCAAGTTCGGATTAAATTTAAAACAGGCTTTCCTCTGTGCCCCCAGCGGGTCATCCGAACCGCCGCAGGCAGGGAGCCCGCTAGCTGCTCTTCAGCGTCCGCTTAGAACCGAGAAGGCCGGTTGCTTTCATTTTCCTTCTCCCCTGAAATGGGCTCATTTCATCCCTCCGCTGCCCTCTCCCCTTCCCCGCCCCCTCCCTGGTTCCCTTTCTACTCCCCACCCCATCTCTCCTGATCCCTCTTTGTTGAGAAAAACACACCCACACACAACTCCTTCTAGCTAAGGCCTGCACTGGAAGCAGAAACTGAGCTCTCCTGCCTGCCGCGAGGAGATCCACGTGCTACCCCCACTCAAGGTGGGTATCTGGGATCCCTGCACACCACACCAGGAGCCAGGCCCCCAAGCTTAGCAAGCGTGAAAACCCCAGGGCCTGTGAACGTGGCCCTCTCAACGCCACGGCCTGCCGGCCTGCCTTCGCGCCCGCGCCCCCGCCCTGCCGCTCCGCAGCAAACGGTGTTATTTCCGGCTCCCCCAACACAGTCCGGTTTTCCAGCCTGGGGAGTGGCTGGATAGGGGAGCCGCCCCAGAGCCGGGGCTGGCCAGTGTTCTGACTCTCATTGACTCCGAGCACGTTGTTACCTGATCTTTTGTGTGATGTATGTATCGCAAGGAAATTTGCAGTGACTTTGGAGCCCAGACTGAGGAAGCGTAGGTGGCGAAATGAGAGACAATACAAGCTCGAAGTACAATTAAGGAGCCGCAGGCCTCCCCCCCCCCCTTCCGCGGCCTCCCTGCCCGACTAGGAGCTGTCTAGCTTCAAACCTCAGGGCGACTCGCGAACCTAGAACCGGAAAAACTCAGCCCAGCCCGTGGCGGGGGGAGCCAAAGAACTCCACGTCCAGAAAACAGGAAGAAACTCCCTTCCAACTTGGGGGTGCCGGCCCCGCCGAGTTGCAGAGAATCCAATGAATGAAAGTACACATTCCGACGACGAATTTTTCTCAGCCTTTGGAAGGAGTGTCCGGGTTTGAGAAGTCTCAGACAGACAGGCAAGCGGCATCTCCCAAGACAGACAGACTCACAACATGAGTGTGAGGCTGAAATC